ATAATCATGAATGACTTCTCAATACACATTTATTCCACAAATGTTTATATGGATATTTTCTGAAAAAAGGGAAACAATTATGAATGATGATGTGATTATAGTTCGCGAGTTTATTATACTTACAGTAAACCTCACCTTAGTTTTGTAATTTATCTCATCATACTAACAAAACAAGAAGTATGAAGAATTTTCACTGTCTTGGTTAGGTGTGATTCTATTGGTAGTAGGAACATTACTTTTAAAAAGAACAGCTCTTCACAATTACATAGAACTGTCACCTTCCATGATCGGGAACCCTATTCAGTCACTTCGCTTCGCTTCGTTCGTTGGGTTCGATAACAAAGCTATACGTTCCAAACAACTAAAATATTAGTTATGCTGGGCAGTCCTATTAGAGGGACTTTCTAACGACCAACTAGCGCTTGTCATTCATCAGACAAGAGCAAAAACTTATCGCTGTTTTGAAGAAGCCGCAAACATGAATTTGTGATTCCAAGAACACAATGTAGAGTTTATAATCTAATCCAATTTAATCCAGAAGCATATTAGTCGAAAGTTGATTTAGTGATAGTGCTAGGCTAGGGATTTAGGCATCGCCAGAGTATATCAAAAGAGAGGAAGATTAGCCATTAGGGATAATCAAACCAGCTTAGAGTAATTGCATTACCCATTTCCTTCCATATAACAAGTAGGATAAGATATGTGGCTTGCTGAACTTGAAAATTCGAGTGAAGCAACTGGCAAATGAAAGAACGACTGTATCAAGTTCCAATTTATACAAAGCATAAAAGCGTAAGGAATAAATAATCAGTTTGCCCATTTTCTTGAGAATGTGATCTCAATTCAGCTTTAGGCATAAAATCCATTTCACTGATTATTAAAAATAAAATAAAATATATTAAAATAATGTCTCAGTAAACTGTACCTCAAGTCCCAGTCCCGCGTAATATCCCAGTAGAATGAATACAAAGAGTTCAATAAACTCGACAGTAGCCATAGAGGCCGATATATATTCGTCCATTTCTCAGGGAAAACATGATACTTGAGTGCCGAAAGGAAAATAACTGGTACTGCTGTTGAATACTTTAAGGCTGAAACAATATGAAGATCAAGTTATGTATGCATGGAAAAATTAATGAACTCATGAGGGTGCTTACAAAGTGGAGCATGAATAATTGCATCACTGACCCAAAAACTAATAGCATGCCATTACTTTCCCTTGATGTTCATCCACCGACACAATGATTGCATGATTGACCAAAAGTTAAAACGAGCTTGGGAATTCAAAATTGTTACGGTTGAAGCAGAAATTCTTATACTTGCCAATGTTTAAAAGGCCGACTGATTGGATAATATCCATGATTGGATAATATCCAGCTATCCATAACAAACCAAATGGAAATAGGGCCGATTTAGCATGCATCAGGATTTAGGTAAGTCCAACAGTTCAACTTTACCTATTTCAACTTTCAAGCAACTCCAAATGTAGATTTCACCTTATAGTAAGAAACACATGCAGACACACCAAAAAGGCTAGTTCAACAACATACCATTAAAAAGAGCTGTTTTTTCTTTTGTATCCTTGTATTGCCGGAGACATTGAAAGAGACGGAAAATATAGGGCAAAACGAGAACAATAGGTATTGCAACAGCGTGACTCCCGCATACAGAATCTGCTTCAAACCATGCAATTGTAGCAACCTACACATGCAAGGTACCACAGTAAAGAAAGGCAAATTTCATGGGAAATTAATGCATCGCCATGAAATAGTGCAA